AAATACTGATCTTACACCGACAACATGCTTTATACTACTCAGACACTCCCCCATTACGTCTACCTGCATATCTGCGCATGTGCTACCGTACATCACCTTACTTAATCTCCTGATTGATCTTTCTGTCCGCTCTGCCTCTTCGTTCAGCTGATATGCTAATTTTTCGACTTCGTCCTTAATTTTTGCACACCAGTGTATATATATATACTAGAGGACCCGACAGACGTTGTCCTGTACACACATCTTAAAATCAAAAATTCCAAATTTTTGTGTATAAGCCTTAAGAATCTGGACCGTTTTGAGTAAAATTTGTATTAAAAAGTTATTACAATGTAATTATGTGCCAAGTTTTATACTTCCGTGTTGCTTAGAAGTGAAACACACACACAAACTATTTCCGATAAGAAATAATTTTAAATAAAAAAAAAGTTGAATGACGTGTGTAATCAATTAGCTACACAAATAGATTTGTAGGTTAGATTAATTGTTGTCAACGCACGTGTAAATTTAATAGAAAATCATGTAAAATACTCACTTCAATTGCATACTAAATTTGGAGAATGTATAGTTTATTATGCACACTTCAAAACTCTTCAAACACTAATTACATCTGAATGTAATAATTTAATTAACACACGATTTATGTCAACAAAATAATAACACGAAGTGACAAAATATTTTCCTGAAATGATCACAGCACCAACTGTCGGGACCAACTTGAGTTATAATAAAAGATTTTGAATATTAGCACATTCTGCCGGATCCAATGTAAAACATTCCAAGATCAACAATTTATAAATAAAAAATTAATTAAATAAACATTTCTAAGCCAAATTATAAATCTAAACCATTCTCGAGTCCACTGGAACAGACAAAAAACTTTCATCAAAATCGGTCCAGCCGTGTAGGAGGAGTTCAGTTACATACACACGCACAGAAGAATTGCATATATAGAGTGTTTTTTTCCAGGTATAGAAGTTTAAGTTGGCATTACTTTCCAAGATGGCGACGGATTTAACAGCTGTCAAGTGATTTATTCTCAGTTTGGTTTGGCAATTCATCAAAACGATCATCAAGCCAGGCGTAGATTCGTCGAATGGGCCCAAAACGAGATTGCCGTTGTTCCCGATTTTCATAAGCGAATTTTGTTTAGCGATGAAGCGCACTTCTGGTTGAATGGCTACGTCAACAAACAAAACTGCCGCATTTGGAGTGAAGCTAATCCACAAGTGTATGTCGAAACACCGTTACATCCAGAAACACTGACTGTTTGGTGCGCTTTATGGGCTGGTGGATTCCTTCTTCAAAAACGATGAAGGCCACAACGTTACAGTCAATGGTGATCGGTATAGAGCCATGATTACTAACTTTTTCATTCCTGAATTGAACAATCATGATGTCCAGGAGCTGTGGTTCCAACAAGACGGCGCAACATGTCACACAGCTCTCATGCCATAATCGATTTATTGAAAGACACGTTTGGTGACCACCTAATTTCACGTTTTGGACCTGTGAATTGGCCTCCAAGATCTTGTGATTTAACACCGCTAGACTATTTTTTGTGGGGCTATGTAAAGTCATTGGTCTATGCGGATAAGCCACAAACGCTTGACCATTTGGAAGACCACATTCACCGTGTTATTGCCGATATACGGCCACAAATGTTGGAAAAAGTCATCGAAAATTGGACGTCCAGATTGGACTACATCCGAGCCAGCCGTGGCAGTCCTATGCCAGAAATCATATTTAAAATGTAATGCCACAAGATTATCTTTCGAATAAAAAGTTCATGTCAATCGAATAATACATCGTTGTTTTATTGCAATTTAAAGTTCTATACCTCTAAAAAAAACACCCTTTATAAAGATTATTTGAAAAGATATTAATTAAAAACGCTAAAAAGCGTGAATCGTCTGCATTTTCGTAACAATGAAGACCAGGTCTGGCCAGTTTGGCTGAAAATCAATTTTCGACGCCAACTTACGTCTTTTTCAATTCCTACTATTGGCTCACGATCTCTATACATATTTTATTTGTTTGTTTTTTGTTTATTTATTTATCTTGGTGGAATTTTCAATCGTTAATAAAATACATTTTAAAGCGCTCAATTCAGCTGAAATGTAATGTACACGATTATTTTGGATGACAATGCAATAATTTAATTGTAATTAATAGAAATTAAATTTGACTAAAACTAATTCTTTAAAAAATTACAAATACAGCCACGTTGGCGACTTAGCTACCCTTTTGGCGACTTATGTCAAAATTTGAAAAGGAGTTTTTCTCACGTGTTAAATCATTCAGTTGAAAGGAAATTTTATATACACGACTGTTTTGGATGACAAAACGATATTTTAATGATAATTATTAAAAATTAATTACCACTTAATGTTGTGATTCTGTCATATGTATATACATATTTATATTAATTGCAACTATTTAATAAGAAGTAGCTAAAATAAATTTTTTCTTGGTTGATCTAAGTAGGAATTGATTGAATTTTTTTTATTTTACTTGTTTATAACAATAGCGTTGTTACAACAATTCAGTTGAATGTTGAGTTGTATTTTTTGAATGTTTTTAATTAATATATTTTTAACTAATTGCGATATCGGACCGAATTGTGAATCTAAACCATTCTCGAATTTACTTGAACCCTCACAAAAAATTTCATCGAAATCGGTCCAGCCGTTTAGGAGGAGTTTAGTGACAAACACACACGCACAGAAGATTTTTATATATAAAGATATGTATATATCTTGTTCAAATTTTCAATCGTCCATTCAAGTTCAAATACATTTTTTTTAATCTTGTAGTGGATGACATTTGATGTTAATACAGTTTTTTCAAAATTAATTCTATAATTAAATTTTATTTTTTAATTTTAAATTTATTTCACGTTTTTTCTGACGAAGTTACAGCTAGCTACAACCGATAGCACCAGTACGTTTTTCTAACGAAGTAGGAATTGACTTTAAAATAATATTTTTATATTACTTGTTTTTGTGTACACTTGAAAGTTTTAAGACACAAAAATATAAAATTTTCAATTTTCAGTGGGAATTTTTTAAAAAATAATTTATCTTGACTTGGATTTCTCGGAATGATAAGAACTGCTCTGTTTACAGGTTGAAAAGGGAACAAAATCAAATTCTTAATACTCGAGAAATATGCCAAAAGAAGTTGGATGCAGATAAATTTATTCTTATTTTTATTTATTTATTTATTTGGGGGGAATTATGAATATCTCAAAAATAAAACTGGTTTTTAAAATCGTAGTTTGTTCAGTTCAACTCATCAGTGTAACAATTTCAAAAGAAATCCCAAAAAAGAGTTTTTTGAAGAACAATTTCTTATAGAAGCTGATACTTGATGTTAATATCCTGCTGATAACTTATCCTGCGTTATTTCTGATCAAGTTAAAGACGGCGGTAGCCTAGTGGTCAAGGTAATGGTGTCGTGTCAAGAGTTCGAGACTAGTACCGCTGAAGACCCGCCCTGTAAGGAAGCGATGCACGTTAATTCTGTCGAGAGCTCAAACGTCCTCCCATTGGAGTGGTGTGGTAGTTAGGTTTGATTGGTTGGTTGAATATTAACGTCGCACTGTTTAGCTACACGAGGGCTTTTGGCGACGGACCACGTAATTTTGAACCATGGTCAAGTGACGTGGACGACATCTGAGTTGGCACCACCTCTCCTAACTACCACACCACACCAACGGGAGGACGTTTCAGCTCTCGACAGATTTAACGTGCATAGGTGCCCTACACGACGGGTCTTTAGTGGTACTGGGCTCAAACTCGTGACAAGGCAAGCCACGATCCGATACCTATACCACTCGGCTACCGCGGCCACGTGTGGTAGTTAGGAGAGGGGAAGCCAGCTCAAGTGTCGTTCTCGTCTCTTGACCATGGTTCAAAATAGTTGAAAATGGTAGTTGAAAAAAGTACGACATTAATATTCACTCACTCACTCACTGATGAAGTTAGAACTAGCACCAACACATGGCGCTAGTAAGTTTTTCTAATGAATTTTTTTCTTGGCGTCAAATATATGTTTCTTTAAACTTGTAAAGGATGACGTTTAATGTTGATACACAGTTTTTTTCAAATATTAATTCATTAATTAAATTTAATTAACTAAAATAAAATTTCTCTTTGTTGACCTAAGTCAGAATTGAATTAATTTTTTTATATAATACTTGTTTATGGGTATTTACATGCGTGTGTAACATCTCTACAAAATATGAATGTGTAATATTTCTGGTAGTAATGCAATCATTTTGAAAAATGAGCGTGTTAAGTATTTCATTCTAATTATCAATATTTTTATATGATTTAAAATACAATATTCCCTGAAGTATTTTTGACTCCTCTAAAATTTCTTTTCAAGCCTAGTGTGGCCACCCATCCGGTATAGTGACGCTGACTGAGGTGCCGTAGGGCCTGGGTTCGAATCCTGGAGAAAGTATGGATGTTTGTATTGTAATCCTTCATGTCTTTAAATTCCTTCTTTTCTTTGTAATGTGTTCTTCGTGCTTACTTCTGTGGGAAACTTTGTGGATTCACGGGGATTTATGAATGTTCTCAATATTAAAAAAAACCTAGTGTGAGAGGTGTTTTATAGCACATATACTTCTATTAATAAATATATAAAAGTTACTGATCTATGTTCCTTGAACGTGTGACTTTAAGTGCAAGAAGTAATATAAAAAAATTATTGTTGATTCCTATATATATATAATTAGGTCAACAAAGAAAAATTTTTAATTACTTTTTATTAAATAATTACAATTATAATATAAATATATATATACATAGGACAGAATCATAATATTAAGTGACAAAATAGAAAGCTATTTTCCTTGCAATTTTCCATTTTCCTTTCAATATAGAGTATTGGATTATTATTTTTGTTTGTTACTATTTATTAATTAATTAAATTTAATTATTTCAATAAAACAGTATAGTAAAAAGAAATCACATTCTCAGAAATTAAGCCATCCTAGGTGGGATTCGAACCCACGGCCTTTGGAACGGAAGTCCAATACGCTATCCATTGCACTACAGAGACACAACGCGCAAAGTTCTTTTTATATATGGTGTTGAATTATTTTTTTTTGCTTCTTTTCTCTCATTCATTAATTTAATTTAATTAATTAGTTCATATTTGAAAAAAAACTGTATTAACACCAAGTGTCATCCACTACAAGTTTTAAAAAATGTAAAGTATTTTACTAACAATTGAAATTTTGAACAAGATGTATATTCATATAGGGAGAGTTGTGAACTAATTGTAGGAATTGTGAAAAAGAAAGAATTCAGAATATGCACTATTTTTGGGGGAAATCACCTCTTATTTAGGGAGTTAAAATTAATGTATACAGATTTATTGCCATAATAGAAAATACAGAGTGGTATAAAATTAAACTAATGGCCCTTTGATTTAATATATCCGTATGAAATTTCAAATATGTGATGTAAATCAAGGGGGTGAAATTTAGACTGAAAAAAGTAATAGCTAGATTTTTTTCCAATTTAGGACATTGAGTGGTAAAACCCATAGGCAAATGAATAAAAATACTAGTTAAACTTTCAAATGATATTTACACGTCGAAAGCAACATTATTTCGGAAATTAATGCTCCAACTTTCTCTTTTAAGTGAACTTTCAGATTTTTAATTTAAGTACAGAATACAATATGCTTCTGTATGTAGCAATTAATCGTCCCATCATATCTCCAGTCTGCGGATATGCTGCGAATTCTAATATTCAAATTGTATACAGATAATATCCAAAATAACACGATAAGAAGGATTATCGGAGCTTCGAAATACATGAGAGATGTTGATATCCGTAAAGCCCCATTAATATTAAATACTTTAAATCTCGCATCCAATTCATAGCCAAATACTATTTCATTCTTTCAGGGCTGCGCTAGCCCAGTGGTTAAGGTATCGGACCATGGCAGGCATGTCATGAGTTCGAGCCCAGTACCCCTAAAGACCCGCCACGTAGGGCAGCGATGCACTTTAAATCTGTCGAGAGCTGAAACGTCCTCCCGAGGGTGTGGTGTGGTAGTTAGGAGAGGGGATGCCAGCTCAGGTGTCGTCCACGTCACTTGATCATGGCTCGAAATTACGTGGTCTGTCGCCAAAAGCCCTCGTGTAGCTGAATAGTGCGACGTTAATATTCACTCACTTTCATTCTTTCCAATTGTTACTCTGTTCTAATGTTAAAAAACGAACCGTTTGAAAAGGTCACGCTAACCTCGCATCTTACCCTCATCGCCACCTCTGGACTCTCGACTTTTAACTAAGACTCGTAGCAAAGTATGAACATCGCACAATGACAAAATCTTCATCCTTTGCTGCTTAGCATTACAGTCTGCGAAATACTGGTGAAAAGGGCAAACTAGATGAGCTTAAGTTCAAGGGGGAATTAGTAGCCTTTGGTGATCATGCCAATGCACAAGAAAAATCGCATACAGCATTTTTATCTGAATAATAACAGTGTTCAAACTGTATTCTGGGATTTTCGATAGAGGAAGGAATTTGCAATCGCAACAATTGAGGCACCAGTAAGTCTTTCAAATCTATTATCAGTGAACGCACTATAGCGAGGGAATTAGGCATTTCTCGGTGAACTGCACCCTTATTTAGTGCAAAATTTTCTTGTTTTATCCTTACAAATAGCATATCGCACAACAATTCAAACCAATCATTCTGCACGTCTTAATTTTGCTTTGAGTTTTCTGGCGAGGATGCAAATGCATCGGCCCTGGTAATCGTATATCTTACAGGTAGATGAGGCTTATTTAAAATATTAATCGAACTTTTAATTCTTTTTTTTCTTCGAATAATAAAGCATTGGAAAAATTGTTTATGAAATACATATCTGATAATATTATTATATTTTATATATTTCGACATTGCCAAAAAATAACACATGAAATAAAGCAAAAGAAGGTTAAGTTAAAATAATACTTAGAAAATAAATACATCAGAGGAAAGTATATAATTCCTCAATGTGTGTAAATACCATAACTTTAAGGAATAAGCAAAACAATAAGTGAGTTGTTTTGCCTGCTTTAGCTCATCAAAACATATTGTCATTAATATAAAAAAATTATATCTGAACGCATTTCTCTCAATATGTGTGTGTGTGTGTGTCGGTAAGTAGGGAAATCACACACACATTCCTGTTATTCGACAAAAATATTCCTATTAGGTGTTGAGGTTTATTAAAACAGTTCGTTAAATTGATAAAGATATTTCAGATGGTTCAAGTTCCTCCCCCTTGCTCAAGCATCCCAAATTTCCCTGGGATTAAAATAAGACATAAGGATTTTATTACCTGAAACCTCAAGCATATGTATTCATGAGATCCCAGAACATTTATATACGATATTTTTAAAAGGGTGATACAGCACAAATGGTTTTTATCATGAATCTCATCATTATTCCACATATTAAGATAATATAGGTGAAGAAAGATAGAGAGAATCACTTTTTAAAATGCAATGTACTCTGAATAATCCACAACAGTTTTAAATTTCACCTATCGTTTTGCCACTGAACACTTTATACATTGCTGGACAATTGCTAAGGACGGATAACACTATCATCCATAGCAACTACAAAATGAAAGAAAGCAAAATGTGGAAAATTAGAATAAGTGAGGGATATTAGTAAGAAGAAGTATGAGTATATATATGCAAATTTTTTTCCACGTCTGTTCATCACGTGATAGCGTTCATAAGAGCTTTAAAGGTTTTGACGCGTATGGACAGTTGTTGTTTCAAGTCAAAGTTTTACAGGAAAGATTTAATAGACGAACTTAAAAAATTTTTGGCATGTTTTCCCGACATCACATAGATGATTTTATGCGTGGCCGAATTATTGGAAAGATCGAAGAAGGGCGAAAAATAACAGATGTTGCCAGGGAGTTCGACATCGCTCACAACGTTGTTTCACGGCTGTGGAAGTCATTTAAAACTACTGGAATGTGTAGTAGACGGCATGGGGGATGTCGTGTTAGAAGTACGACGCCTGCAGGAGACAGATATATCGTTCTATCAGCAAAAAGGAACAGGCGCACCACAGCTCAGCAGGTGGTAAATCAGTTTCTTGCTGCCTCAGGAAAGCAGATCTCCCGAAAAACTGTTGCCAGACGTTTGAGGGGAGGAGGACTATACGCACGCAGACCTGTTGTGTGTGTCCCATTGACCAGACAGCACCGTACTGCCCGTTTGCAATGGTGTCGTGAGCATCACAATTGGACTGAACAGGACTGGGCATGCGTACTATTCTCAGATGAGAGTAGGTTCAGTCTGTCATCAGATTGTAGACGCCAACTGATCTGGCGTGAGAGTGGTACTGCTTATCGTCCAGAAAATATCTAGAAAAAGGACCGATATCCGACATGCAGTATCATGGTGTGGGCCGGCATCATGATCAAAGGCCGCACGCGCCTACATGTGGTTGCGAATGGGACTATGACGGGCCAACGATACATTGATGAAGTTCTACTTCCTCATGTTCGTCTTTTCCGTGGTGCTGTCGGTGATAAATTTGTTTTTATGGACGACAACGAAACATGTCATCGAACACTCGCTGTTCAGGATTGTCTAGACGCGAGGGTATTCAACGTCTCGTATGGCCAGCGCGTTCTCCAGATCTAAACCCCATTGAAAATGTGTGGGATGCTTTGGGGAGGCAAGTTGCTGGTCGAAACTATCCTCCGACAAACAAGAACACCCTCATCCGTGCACTCACAGAGGAATGGGATAAATTGCCTCAACAGCTGCTGGATAATGTTGTGCAAAGTATGGTACGACGTGTGGAATGTTGCATCACACTCCACGGTGGACATATCCCGTACTGACACCTTTCTTTAAGGTGCCTGTTGACTTTTAGATGCATTGTTCTATTTCTCTGTACGCAGATCAAATGAACATTTTTTTTTCTTTCAGATGTTTCACAGCTTTTGTACTTTCCAGAACAATAAATATTCTTTATTCTAATGTCTGAACCGTGTGGAAACTATATTTTATCCTACTAGGCCTCATGTCCCGCTTAATGTTATGTTATATAGCAATTTGTGATCCGTCCTTAGCAATTGTCCAGCAGTGTATTAACTAACTCTAATAATTAACTTTTGTTCATGAATAATGCATCCTTTTGCAGTCAAGTTGTGCCCGCGGTAGCCGAGTGGTATAGGTATCGGACCGTGGCCTGCTTTGTCACGAGTTCGAGCCAAGTACCACTAAAGACCCGCCACGTAGGGCAGCGATGCACTTTAAATCTGTCGAGAGCTGAAACGTCCTCCCGTTGGTGTGATGTGGTAGTTAGGAGAGGGGGTGCCAGCTCAGGTGTCGTCCCCGTCACTTGACCATGGTTCAAAATTATGTGGTCCGTCGCCAAAAGCCCTCGTGTAGCTGAACAGAGCGACGCTAATATTCAATCAATTTGCAGTCAAGTCAAGTCATTTTTTTTTCGTTTTATTAGTTTTTTTTTTAAGTAAAACTTTTCAGAATACAATTATATATTTTGAGAAATGACACGCCTTCATTAGAAAACGTTTTACGGGTAATTCTGAGTGTTAGCTTCGTGAACATTAACTTATCATTAAACCCTTTTGTTAATTAGCTATATTTTATTCTTATGTACTTTAATTATTTGTGATATATTCTGCGTGTTAGAAATTATCTGTAGTTTTTAATAGTGGTTTGATGAATTTCAGTGCTTTTAATATTTATAATTATTAGATCGTATCATTACAGATTTTCATCAGAACCTATATAGAACGGTTTTATTTTAAGGACATAGTATATATATTTTTTTTAAATATTCGCATGTTTCTATCTTTAACTAAAATAAAAAAAATAATAAACAACTTTTACTTTATTTTTACTTTAAAATTGACTAAGAAACTAAAAAAGAATCCTTATTTTCTTTTTGGTCCATTGGCAAATGGTCCGCATCAAATCATTTGTGTTTTTAATAACGGCTGCATTATATTATGTTGATCATCAGGGTTAATTTTCTATCAGTGATGTATTACAGTTCGGTG